GAATGTGGGTGCAGGAGAGTCCAGAGTGGATGAGGCAACACACCAGGCCAGAGCACAGTGACACAGAACTTGGTAGACAGCACTGGGATGGGAGATGGAGCCCAGGGTCCCTGCAGAAGAGGAGATCTGGGAGGTTTGTGCTGGGAGGTTTGCATACATGCTCAGGTCATCCCAAAGGGCCCTCAGGATCATGGAGGAGGAGGTCTGGCCCGGAGGAGATCACATGGGCCCAACCCTCTCCCAACACCTTACTGTGTTTGAGGCTCTCTGGATCCCAGAGGGCAAGGCCAGGTCTGGCATCCTCCCCACCCTGAGCCCTGCATCCTGGCTTGGCCTCAGGGCTGCCATTTCCCTTTGGGTTCACATTGCTGATCCTGTAGAGGACCCATCTCCATCACCCGGATAGCCAAACATGGCCCAGACCTTCCTGGAGGGGACCCACTCCCCAGAGTCCTGGTCCTGAATACCCACACTGTGGCCCTGCTTGGGCATGCCTTGATGTCCATACACGGGGAGTGACTGAGCTCCTGGGAATGCCAGTGAGGGAGGGCACCCTGGGGCCCATGCATGGGGCTCCCAAGTGGGCCAGGGAGACCTGGCACCCACAAGCCTGTCCACCAGTCCCCAGACCCCAGGCAGCTGCGTTATCCTCTTCCAACAGCGTCCTGTACAACAAAACCAGTTATCACTGCAAATGGCCTGCACCTTTGTCCCACAGGGCACAAGGCCTAGAATCAGGCCACCCTGGCCTGACTTTGGAAGCTCCCCAGCATGGGGTCTCCCAGCCAGGTCACCTGCCACAGGCACGTTCCCAACAGCTGATATGGCACCGGGGGCTGATATGACCCCAACTCTTTGCCTTGTCTGAGCTGCTGGCTGCTTCTCCAGGGCACTGCTGCCAGGCCAGCTCTTTCCCACGGACCCAGTCCCCAGTCCAGCCCACAGCTCTGAGAGGTGCAGCCTGCGACTCTGTGAAAAGCAAAGAACCCTGAGCTGGGGTCAGAAAACCCAAGTGTCTGACATCATGGCACGAGTGCTATCTGTCACATGTATGGTTTCCTTGCTTCTCACTGAAGGCTCTAAGGCCCTGGAGAGCCCTAAGAGAGCCTTCCTGGATGGGAAGTCCTCGAGGGCCCGGCTTATGCTGAAGGGCGAGTGGGAAGTAGCTGTGTTAAGGGGTGGGCGTGGGGATGATGGTGCTAGGAGAGAGAGCCTTCTAGGCAGGGGCCTCAGGGGGGCAAAACCCAGAGAAGTACAGACATGGCTCCTCTGAGGGACAGACCTCTGCCCTTGGCCACCAGCATGTCCTGGGCCCCCTCAGAGATCAGAAGCCTGCAAGTCTGAGAGGCTTAGACAATGGTGACTCTGTCCCTCCTCCAAGACGTGACCTATGGACAGATGCTCCATGTGCTGCCTGGGAACTAGGTCTCCCACTCCAGCACTTGGAGCTCATATCTTAGGGCTGTGGCAGAGATTCAAGGGGATGTCTACAGTGACTAGAGACATCTGGACTGTGTGACACCCCTGTGGACAGAGGCCCTGTGTCCTGGTGTCCATTGCTGAGTCCCCATTGCATCATCAACAGTATAGAAACTGAGAAACCCAGAGGATAAATAAAAGAGCAAAATAGAAGACAGATAATTTTCAAAATGGAAGGGGACAAAGATGGAGGAAGGGAGGAGAAGGACATAAAAAGAATTAAGATGTGCTGTGTACAGGTACCAGCCCCGCGTGTGAATGTGATCATTATATACCCCAAATGTGCACTGATAAAAATAAAAATGAAAAAAAGAAAACTGCAGCAGGAAGGGACACAGGGCCACTTCTTCTTCCTCTTCTGCTCTTTTTTTCATGATTGAGGTCTAGCAAAGCCCGTAGGAGACTACACCCATATTTACCAAGTCGGCTTTCAAAGCCCGCTCAGAATTTCCAGCTGGTGCGTCAGCCACAGCCCACACTGGGGGCTGTGAGGGTGCGGCTCCCCAGGACGAGTCTGGGCAGGGCTTGGGTGGGGCCTGGGAGCCCAGAAGGGCCTGGAGGGGAGGGGAAGAGAGGCAAATAGAAGTGGGATGGGGTGGGGCCTGCGCCTGCCTGCACCACTATACCACCCCAGCTGGACTGCCCACAGCGGGAGCAGGACGTGCCCAGTCCTCCAGTGTAGCCACCGGTGTCTCTCCGTCTCCCTGGGAAAGGTGGACAAGCAGTGACCAAAATGGCCTGGTGGAAAGCTTGGGTGAGTGGGGTGAGTGGGGAAATGGTTCCAGTGTGGGGCCGGGGTGGGCATCCAGGAGGTCCACCGCAGTGTAGGCAGAAGCTGGTGGGCCAAGCCCTGGGAAGGACCCAGAAGACGCTATCTTGGTCTTCAGGACCTTGGGCAGGAATGAGACCAAGTGGGGAAGCAGCCAAAGAGAAGACCTTGCCATGCAGGAGAAGCTAGGGGTGGAGGAGTCTGGAGAAAGTTCTCTGGGAGGTTGTGGTGCTTAGAGAAGAGGCTCCTGGCTAAGCTACAAGCCCACGCACTTTGGGGGAGCCTGGCAGGCTGCTCCCGGGTGAATCACAGAAGGGTGGGGAGCGGCTTTGGAGGGAAGCAACCATTACGACTCAAAGGCACTGGGAGGGCACAAGATGGGCCTGCAGAGGGAGGCAGAATCAAAAGAGGCTTTGCGCATGGGCCAAGGGGGTCAGGTTGAACCTTCAGAGCCCCAGGGAGCCATGAAAGTTGCTGGTGGGAGCCCATGGGTGCCCATGATGCAGGACAGGAAGGATGGGCAGGCACTAGGTAGCAATGTCATGCATTTGTCAAGACTGGGGAGGGGGAGAGTTAGCAAGAGGACCTGGCCCACAGGGGACTCCAGTGGTTCTGTCACACAAGTAAGTGCTGGGGTCTGGACTATAGCCTGAGCAGCCTGGCTCAGCATCCAGACTCCGCAGGTCTGGGCTGTCCGAACGAAAAGAAATAGAACAGGGGACAGCTGGCTCAACAACCAGTTTGCTGTGGATACCCTGTGTAGCTGGCCAGGCTGCCAAGGAGAATCACTTGTCCTCTGGACACAAAGCCAGACCGGGAACAGGATGGTAGGAGACGAAAAAGTGGCTCGAGCAGCCCATCCGTGGATTGTCGCCCTTGTCCCAGGGTAAGGCCCCCTCTGTCCCCTCTAGAAGAGAACAGAACAAGCAACCCAGGACAGGGAGAGGCCAAGGTGTGGCAGCTCCTCTATAGTGCAGCTCTGAGTCACCTTTCCAGTGAAGAGGCGCCTGTCTGATCTCACCCACCATCAGGGATAACAGCCTCTAGGGCCTCAGGGCCTGTGGAGTCCAGATTCTGATCCCCAGAAAATCATCCTGTCTTTCTAAAAGCTTATTCTGGGAAGTGAGGCTGAGGCCTCTGGGTGTGGTGAAATCAGCCAGCCAGGAAGAAATCTTCTAGCAAATAGAACCTGGGCCCCTCTCCCACCCCTCCTGGGTGCTGGGGTCCCTCACTTCCTTAAAGGCAGGGGACAGAGTTAGGCACTTAGAGTCCAGAGCCCTCAGGCTCCCAGACGACCTGCATGCCTGTGGGTGAGACTTTCTCCACACAAGTGTTCCAAGAATCCTGGAGTCAGGGAAGAGCTGAGTCACCAATAGACCAGGAAGGTGGACGGAGGCAGCATGAGCTGGGCTGTGGGTGAGGTCCACACCACCACTTGCCAGGGTGTCACTGAGCTAAGTGCCATTTCCAAAGCACCAGACACAGGTGATGCCCCAGTCAACACCTAGGAAGAGTAGCACATACAGGACTTCACCAGGAAGGGACATTGTGTACATGTGCACACCACTGGACAACATCTGCACCACACTGGCTCTCTGGGGGGATTTCCACAGAAATCATTTCTAACATGTAAAGCACCATAGAAAACACAGTGCTAGAAAATGAGACAGAAAGTTCTGTCCGCAGACATTTGAAATTCAAGCAAGGGTAAAGAAAGATGTGTAAACTCTTGCTCAAAAAGAAAGATCCTGACAGATTTACCATGGGTGAGGGTCTGCTTTGTAGTTTCAAGGTTTAATCTAAGGGGGCCAGGGATTTGGCTCAGTGGTTCCACTGCCTATCTCAAAAGCACAAGTTCCCAAGTTCAATCCCCAGTACAAAAAAAAACAAAGATTTAATCTAAGACTTGGATGCAAGAGTGGTTGGATAAATCAATCAATGGAAGGAGGGAGGGGAAAAAGGAAAGGAAAGTGGGAAGGAAGGAGACAGATGAATGTGTGGATGGGTAGATGGATGAGAGGAAGGGAGGGGAGAAGGAAGGAGGGAAAGGGAAGGGAAGAAAGAAGAAAAGGAGGAAGGATGAAAGGATAAACCTAGAGGCTGACGGCTGGTCGGGGAATGGATGAACAGATGAATGGAGGAGCCCATGTATAGAGAGGTTGCTGGGTGGATGGAAAGGTATAAGGGGAAGGTGAACAGGTACACGAAGACCAGACTCAGCACAGGTGAACTTTCCACTGAAGACTCTGAGTCTCCCTCAGACTCAATGCCTCTCTCCAATCCACCTCCTCTCCTGGCCTCTCCCAAAATCACACACCTGAGAAGGGCCAGTGGCATAATCACAGGGCAAAGGGACCCTCAGGCATGGCCTGACCTGAGCCCTGGGGGGTGCTCAGCTGACTCTGTCCTTGGGTCCCTGGAAGCACCCACTCTCGGAACAGAGAGGCTGTCCCTGAACACACAAGCCACACTGGCTGTCTGCGTACTCTCAAGGTAGCTGTCAGTTCCAGTAGGCCTTCTCCTTTCCTTTACTGCCCATGTTGGTGGATACCTTCAGAGGGCACAGCTGGGCACAGACTGGATGTTTCTCCTCACACTCCCTGCTGCTCGGGCCTGGGGACCAAGGATCGGAGGGCTTGGAACTGGCCAAGCTGGCTGAGCTGGTCTCAGCCCCCCACAAAGGTGCCCTCCCACCCTGATGGGCTGCCCAACCTGCCCCTTCCCACTCTAAGCAGGCCCATCTCTCTCACAGGTTGAGCAGGAGGGGGTCACAGTGAAGGGCAGCTCCCACTTCAACCCGGACCCCGATGCCGAGACCCTCTACAAAGCCATGAAGGGGATCGGTGAGTCAGGACTGTGCCTCTGGGTGGTTCCTCCAGCCTTGGAAAGCAGAGGACAGGCAACAGCTGGAGATGTGGGGTGTCCTCGTGACATTCATAGGGTGAGCCTGTCATGGAGAGACTTGCACAGACCTGGCTTCCCTGGGGAGACCAGGACAGGGGGCTGTTCCTCCCTGGGCCATGGTGGGGTGGGGAGGCCATCTGCTGTGTCCTGTGCAGCAGACTTCACCTTTCAGCCTGAGCTTTCTCACTTGCACAGTGGCCTCGTGTCACTGTTAATCTCTCTTTTTAAATTTTTTTTGTTATTATTAGTGTATGCTTACAGTACGTAACGACTACATTTTCATGGACAGTGAGTGCATCTCAATTCCTTTTACATCCCTGTGCCCTCCATCCCTCCTCTCCCTCAGCCACTTGGCCCCCTTCCCATTTAGGAAAGATCGATCTCCCTAATTCCTATTAGCTCTTTATTTATATTTTGGATTTCTCATGTAAGAGACCATGCAGTATTTAAGCTTGTACATCTGATTTATTTCACTTAACATTGTGGTCTCAAGGTGCATCCCTAACCTCAAAATGTTTAAGTTTATCCCTCTTTGTGGCAGAGTAGTGCTCCACTGTGTATAAATGTCACATTTTCTTTATCCATTCATCTGTTGATGGACACATACACTGCTTCTAATATTTAGTTGTTGTAAGTTGTGCTGCTATAAACGTGGGTGTGCATGCATTGCTGTAAAATGAGACTTTAACTGTGAATCTTGGGTGACACACAGTTTCTGGTAGGTGTGTGGATGGGTAAGGCTGCACCAGGGCCCAGGCAGCAGCATCCACACATATTCTGCAGCTTGCACCAAGTTCCACATTGGCCAGCAGCCAAGCCATCTTCCTTCCTGTCCCCAGCCTGTGCCCAGCAGGACTGGGACTGGGACAGTGCAGACCCAAGCTGAACCATGAGCCCAGGGCTGTCTGAGACTCAGCGGTCTGGACTCTTGGTCACGATTTTCTCCACCCACCACCAACACAAGGGTGGGCAGGGTGGGTGGCCTCACTTGGCCAAGCTTGAAAGCCCCAGGGGTGATGTCCAGGGCCACCTGGTCCTCAGGTTTCCCCACTGTGAGGCTGAGCCTGGGCTGCACCCAGTATCATGTGACTGAGGACTGGAGAATAAAGAGGTGAAATTGTTTTTTTCTCATTACTGGCGATTGAACCCAAGGCCTTCACACCAACCTAAACCCCAAGTCCTTTTGATGTATTTTTATCTTGACTCAGGGTCTCACTAAATGGCTAAGTTTCTCAGGCTGACCTTGAACTTAGAAACCCTCCTGCCTCAGCTTTCCGTTGTGCAAGGATTACAGGCATGTTGTCTCACATCTGACTAAGAAGGATTTTCTAAGGTTCTTTGCAACCTGAAAATCATCTGGGCATTTGGAGCTATCCAGGTGGTGTGTCCCCAGCCCAGCCACCAAACATCAGCTATCACCCTCCCCACACCTCACTGGTTCCCCTGCAGCTCTTACACCATGTGCCTCACAGGGACCAACGAGCAGGCCATCATCGATGTGCTCACCAAGAGGAACAACGCACAGAGACAGCAGATCGCCAAGTCCTTCAAGGCTCAGTTCGGCAAGGTAGGGAGCTGGGCTGCAGCCCAGTCCATTGCCCATAGGGGGCATCTCTACTCACCTGAAGTCCAAGTTTCCCTGGTGGCTCTGTTTTATCTGGCAGATCCGTTTATAGCTCCCCAGTCCTGGCCACCTCCTCTGCCCTTCTCCATCTCTGCAATCCCCAAGCTGTCCCCTGCTCCCAGGGCTCTGCACATCCAGTCCTCAGCTGATCTCTATCTGCTCCTGAACCTCTGACATGTGGGCCCTGCTTTCTGTGCCGGGCATGGGTACACACTTCTCATGTTAATGCTACATGCACTGAGTCCCATCCCTTCTGCCCAGGGAGGTCTAGAGCCCTGCACCCGCCCGGCCCCTAGCCAGGGCCAGGCCCTGGAGGATCCCACTGAATGAACCCGGGAACACACACTGGCACAGCCATGGTTGCCCAGAAGTCTCCATGGGCTCAAATCATTTGTTTGGAGATTTAACACAGGAGGATAGTGACAAAGCCCAAATAGCCCCTTGGAGACACCAACATGCATTTTCATAGGTCTCTCCTGGAATCCTAGGGCTATGCACTATTCTCTGCATTCAATGGCTGGGGAAGTGGACGTGTCCGGAGGGGTTGAGAAAGTTGCGCAAGGTCCCAGCACCTTTAAGCAACAGGGTTGGGATTTAAATTCAGCTCCAACAAGGTCCTTAGTCTTCGTTTCTCTTTTCCTTGTTTCCTCCCTTCCTCTTTCCTCTTCTTCCCTCCTTCCTTCTTTGAAGGCCTATGGCCCGAGTGACAGGCCACGCTGCCATCCGCAGAGCTGCAGTCTCGTACCCAAGGGCAATTTTATTTTATTGTGAGCTAGTGTGCCCAGATAGAGGATGGGGAGTGCTGAGCGGAGTCACACACCTTTCTATCACCCTATGACAGGCTGTGAAGCCGCAGCTCCAGTGTAACAGGCATGCACACCCAGGGTTTAGAGGCTAAGGGGCTGGCCCAAGAGACCCCAACTCACCGGTGGCAGGGCCAGTGTGGGGATCCAGCCAGGGCTCTTGGGCCGTCTCACTCCATGGCTTGTTCTCTGGAGGGCCTGGTGAATACTCACCCTCACCTCCCTGTGCCTCCTCAGGATCTCACCGAGTCACTGAAGTCAGAGCTGAGTGGCAAGTTCGAGAGACTCATTGTGGCCCTCATGTACCCGCCCTACAAGTATGAGGCGAAGGAGCTGCATGACGCCATGGAGGTAACTCCCTGAGCCACCCTGTTCTGTGGCCGCCTGGGCCTGGCTGAGCCCAGCGAACTCACAGTCTGCTGCTCAAACAGCCATCCAGCGCCAGAATGCCCTGTCTACTCCAGCTCTGCAGTCCCATGCACAGCCTTCTGGGTCACCTTTGCTTCTCACCACTTTTGCAGATGAGGAGGGACAGGGTAGATTCATTGATAGAAAGCTTACTTTATGGGTGGCCAGGCATTTTCCATCCATGATCACTAATCCCTCCTTCAGGGTGGGCATGGCTTACTAGTCCTATTTACACTTAAGGGTGTCCTGGCTGGGCTGAGGAGCTCCAGGTCCAAGACCACCAGCTAAGGAGGGGAGTCGAGCCATAGCCTGTTCTCGGCATCATCACTGTGACAAATGTGGGTCTCTCCAGTCACATCTGCCCACACAGGGCCCACCGGCATGGTCAGAACAGGGCTGGTGCTTCCTGAAGCTCAGGCATCTTGAGGAAAGAGGGTGCAGAACGAGCTGGAGGGCAGAGGCCTTCAGCCCACAGAGCTTTCTGTCCCCAGGGATTAGGGACCAAAGAAGGGGTCATCATTGAGATCCTGGCCTCTCGGACCAAACACCAGCTTCAAGAAATAATGAAGGCCTACGAGGAGGGTAAGGAGGCTGCACATAAGGAGGGGCTGAGATTGAGCCAAAGGCTCACTTGGAAAGAGCAGGAGCTTTGGTGATGAGCAGGGCACAAAGGCTAAATGGCACCCATGAAAGCCAGGCCTCACTGGGAAGGACCCTTTCGGTCCTTGTATACCAAGATTTTGGGCATCTGCGTGCTAATTCCTGCACACAAAGTGAGGCTGCACGTAATTTGGCCCAGTCCCTGAGCTCACTGGCTACTGGGGGACAGGCACATGGTACTCCTGTGCACCCCAGGCTGTGTCATCAGAGGACAGGTTGGCTCTTTCCTGGCTCACCCAAGTGACCCAGCGGGCCACGTGCCAAAGCACATGGTCATGGGGCATGGACAGCTACCCAGCTGTCCTGTGTAGTCTGCAAGTTGCAGAACCAGCAAAGGCCAGGCTGTCCTCCTGGCTGTGGACCTGGTAGCATGTTTGCCTCTGGCCTGGCTGATCTCTGTGCTTGGAGCTTGGCTAGACCTCCAGGTCACTTCTGCAGTGAATGACCACCTGTGTGAATGTAACAGTCCTCTGCCACCTGGACACAAGGGTCTTGTGTTTATGCCCTGTGCCAGGGAGTGGTCCTTCTTAGAATGCTGCAAAGGCGGAAGTAAGATACACAGGGCTGGCAGGAAGAAGCTGGCCTGGGTGGCCTGGGGCCTCTGTCACAGCCCCTGGTCTTATCTCCTTGCAGACTATGGGTCCAGCCTAGAGGAAGACATCCAAGGAGACACAAGTGGTTACCTGGAGCGGATCCTCGTGTGCCTGCTGCAGGTACCCAGCCCAGGACCCCAACAGCCCCAGCCCAGGATCAGCCCATAAGCAGAGCCTTGGGGTGGGCAGGGCCAGAGACAGCCCAAGGGCCTGGGTCTGTCCCAGCCATTGCCATGGATCCTCACTACATAGCTCCAGCCCCTCTCCAGGTTCAGCCAAGGGGAGACAGCACCTCAGAATTGGAGGAGGCCGCCGCTCCTAGAGCAGGACCTTCATACTGCCAGCGCTGGGCTTTCTGCCTTTTCACTCACTGAATCCCCTTAGGATTTCTGCTCTACTGCACAGATGAGAGCCCCAAGGCTCAGGGAGGACACCTGCTTTGCGGAAATCCCTTCCAAGCCCTCATGACCCCTTATAGAGCTACCTTGTCCCTTCTTTTCCCAGGGCAACAGGGATGACATCAGTGGCTATGTGGACCCAGCACTGGCTGTACAAGACGCACAGGTAAGACTGTGCCCTGCCCTGACCACCAGAACTCAAGGATTGATGGTACCTCTGCCTGCCTGGAGCTGCCCAGCCCAGCACACTGCAGGCCTCTGCCTCATGGTGTGTGTGGTGGGGGCATTGGGGAGAATTGGAAGAAGGAAGGACAGTGACTTGGGGAGGGAGTTGTTAAGGTCTTTCAGGGCAGGACTAACCCAGGGCTCAGGCAGGAGGCACAGCCACATCCCTGTTCTGGCAGCACTTGGTCCTCTGTGCTGCCTGGAGGTGGGGAATGGTTTCTCAGAGTAGCTCTGTCCCCTTGTGGAGAGGAGGCTTAGAGTTTTTTTTGAATAAAAGGATATCAGGAGAATAAGCTCCCCATCACAGACACCATGGAAAGAACGCTGGCCTGGGGTTTTGTCCTCATCTCCTCAGTCGCCTTCCCCGGCTTTTTGGGGTGTCTCAATGCCAGGATCTGTATGCAGCAGGCGAGAAGATCAGTGGGACTGATGAAATGAAATTTATCACCATCCTGTGCACGCGCAGCGCCACTCACCTGATGAGAGGTACAGAGATGGGGGTAGCATTGCTGGGGCACAGGGACTTCCCTGGCCTAGGGCTTTCCCTGTTTGCCTAACCTCAAGTTACGGAGTTGGGGAGAGAGCCAGGAAGCCCCAGACCTTTCCCTGGCCTCTAAGAGGAATAGAGTTGACCGGCAGTTTGCCACCCGTATGTACACTAAGTGGTACCCCGCCTCCATAGTGTTCAAAGAGTATGAGAACATCGCCAACAAGAGCATCGAGGACAGCATCAAGAGCGAGACCCACGGCTCATTGGAGGAGGCCATGCTCACCGTGGGTAAGACGGGGTGCGGACTTGGGCACACATGTGTCCCCTGGCCAGGTCACCCTAGAGCTTCAGTGTCTCCTGCAAGGACGGTTCCCTGTGCTACCCACATGTAACCAGTGCCATGTGAGTGCATGTGTGTGAGTGTGAATGTGTGTTAGAGAGGGACTGGAGGTGTGTAAGTGTAAATGCATGAATGTATGCCTGTGTGTGTGAGGGTGTGCATGAGCACGTGTGTGCATGTTTGAGAGATAGTCCGTTCAGGGGTGAATGTTAGTGTGTATGTGTGTGCATGAGTGTATACGTGAGAAAGTGAATTATGCATGACTGTGTGCATGAGTATGATTGAGAGATAGTGTGTGTAGGTGTGTGAGTGTACATCTGTGTGTGTGCATCTGTCAGTGTAACTCTGTGCACCTGAGTGAGAATGTAAGAGAGTATGCACACGTGTGGATGTAAGTGTGTACATGTGTGTGACAGCATGTGTTTGAGAGACTGAGTTCTTGGGTGTGTGTCTGCGCAAAGGGAGCACCTGGTTTTCACTGTGCAACACAGAAAAAAGCCACCTCTCTGGCCCTGAGCCAGGCCTCAGTAGCCAATTGGAGAGCTGACGCACAGGATTAAAGTCCCAACCTGGAGGCTGGGGTTTGACACTGGGAAGACGGTGACCCTTCCATGTAGCAGGAGGCCAGATCCACGGAGGAGGTCCCGGTCCAGAGCAGATCTCAAGCCCAGAGCTGAGATCATAATGGAAAAGAGCCCCAAACCAGCCAGGAGGGACCTCTTCTGCACTGTCACCAATGGGACTAAGGTCAAACAGTGCTCCTGGGCAGGGCACTCACCTCCACCCCGGACTGCCTGTGTGTGCCACTCTGTGTCCCTATGTCCCTGTGTCCCTATATCCCTTTCTCTCAAGTGCACATGAACACCTGAGACCCCCTGGCCAGCTTTGACTGCTGTTATAAAATCCAGTCTCTGTTGAAGCATCTAAGCCCGTCCCCAGCTCCCATCTCAGCCTGCGAAGCCAGTCCCTAGGTCCTCAGTGATAACATGTTCTATAGCACACCTTCCGGCAGGGAATAGCAAGTGTGCCAGCCTTACTGTGCTGGGCACTTCCTGTCCACTTCTCCCTAAAGCCTTACTCACTCTCTCATCACAGAAGGTAGAGGGTCAGGTAACAAATTCACCCAGAACCACAGGACAGGGGTTGGACACTTGCCTTGCAGCCTTGGTGAAAACACCACCTCCCTGTGCGATGCCAGGCCTCCCTTAGCATAGCATGCATGGTAAATACACTATGGCAGAGCATGCACCCTGGGACCAGGCGCCCCTATCCCTTAGGCTCTGGGGCCAAGCCCCTCTTGTCACATGAGAATTCAGAATGCAGGGCTCCTGCTGATGGGACACCCAGAGACTCATGGCCTCAGTGCTGTGTGCCACCTTGCAGCAGAGAGTCTGGATGTTTTTGGAGAGTGTTTCTCTGAGGGTGAGAGCCTGGGCCGTCCTGGACCTGAGCTGTCCTGAGAGGCTTGAGCTGTGACCACCACAAGCCCCACAAGTGCACTCTGCATTTCACATTTGCCCTTTTGTCTGCCCTTTCCAGGCCTTTGGAGCCATGCCTGGTGCCCCAGGCTGCCTGCCCTGCCCTGCCCCACCTAGTACAAAGCCTCTATTTTGGAACTAGACAGGGAACAAAGAAATAAGGCAAGCCTAGCACAATGCTAACCCTTAGGACCTGGGGCAAGGAGTAAATAAATAGAAGTGTAGGCCGCACTGCCTACGACCTTCAGACACTAACAGAGCTTTTCTATTTGCCAGTGAAGTGCACCCGGAACCTGCACAGCTACTTTGCGGAGAGACTGTACTACGCTATGAAGGTGACTCGGGTTCTGTTACTGCTTCCCTTGTCATCTCCCGACCCAGCACCAACTGCATAGCCAAGGAGCTCAGAGCATCACTCTCTTCAACCCAGGGATTCCTCTTTTTTTGAGACAGGGTCTCACTATGTAGTTCAGACTGCCCTGGAATTCACTATGTAGGCCAGGCTGGTCTCGAACTTGCAGTGATCCTCCTGCCTCAGCCTCCCGAGGGCTGGGATTGCAGGTGTGAGCCACCTCACCCAGCATTTCCTCTTTTCTTATTCCAGTCACGTATGGATCTGAGGTTTTTGTTTCACAGAGGGCAAGCTGAAGCTAGGGAAGGGAAGCCTCCTCTCCTGCAGATGAAGTTGAGCAGGTGCCTGCTCAGGGTTGGCACTGAACTTGGATGACAGTCCTGACTCACTGACAACCTACAGATTGGTGAAACTCAGGCATGAATTTGAGATCTCACTATTTCTATGAGTCAGAGCTATGACTTGAACCTAGGCCAGTATATGTGTGCCCAGGCCAGCCAGGCACCATGTGGCAGATGTGATCCTGGAGGTCACAGGCAGGGACTGCCAGGAACCGAGCACCCTTGACTGGGACAAGCTCAGAAGATCACCGCAGTGTTTCTCAAGTGCCCAGGTGCCAACCTCTGTGTGCCTATTGCTACCCAACCCTTACAGGAGATGTTATCGAGGACTCCTGTCATGGGTCTCAATCTCCTATGAGACAGTACAACATATGTGAGATACAAAAGAGAGAACAAAAGACAGTCACAGACAGTTGAGACCTGGGTCTTGGGCTAACCTAAACTGCTGTGGGGCAGCAGAGACAAACACATGCATTGTAAAAACACTGTGCCAGAGCATGCATGGGGCCCACCCTGGGCCAGGCGCAGTGTTTATTCATCACAAGTGTGAGAAGGAGGGGAGCTGGGTAGAGCTTGGACACCTGCTGATAGTGGGTATCACAGGCAGGACTGTAAAAGGGAGGCACTGGCGTGTCTTTGCAAAAGAGAACAAATGAGTAATTCAGAGGGGAAGAATTTAGCTGGAGTCAAGCTGACTTTGGCTAGAAGTGAGCTCAGCTGGCCCCTACCACTTCACGGACTAGGAGTTAAGTCTCTTGGTAGTAGCCATTAACAGAGGAACTATACTCACCCAACTCTGTCATCTGACACACCCATTTGGGTCATGTAAAGCTTTGGTCAGACTCCTAAGATAATACAGCCAAATTATAAAAGGGCAAGAAGCTAGTGACACTTGCAGCCTGCTAATACTTGGCAGAGATGCCTGCTACAGACCCTCACGTTGCAGGTGGCATTACCAGTTTCTGGAACCACACTGGAGAAAGGATGAAATTAGTTCACCCAACTGAAGGTATTGTCCAGCTTTTCTATGTGTGGTTGCTGACCCCACCTGAAGTAAAGGTAGTTCCAGAAAGCCCAGCCTTCTGGCCACACTTGCTCAGAAATAAGAGAGGGCATGGCGTTCCCACAGCCAGGAGGCTGCACTGCAGGAAGTTCTGCCTGTGAGCCGGCCAGTGAAGTGACTGCCACAGCTGCTGCTCATGGCAGGAGTCTTCCCCCAGGAGCAGTGAGCATTCTGTGTCCAGATCTTGTGGGGCAAACCAAACACACACACACACACACACACACACACACACACACACACACACACACTGCACTGCCCCAGCTTCCCTCTGAGTGCTTCCCTGGCTCAATCCTGCATACCCCTCCTCCCAAAGCCCCAGAAACCAACCCCACAGCCTCATCCAGCCCTGCAGAGTTGGGCAGGAGAGGTGAGAAGTGACTCTTGGTTGCCTCTGTCTCATTCAGGGAGCGGGGACACGCGATGGGACCCTGATAAGGAACATCGTCTCGAGGAGTGAGACTGACTTGAATCTTATCAAGTGTCAGTTCAGTAAGATGTATGGCAAGTCCCTCAGCGGCATGATCATGGTAAGTCATGAGTTCCAACTCTAACAGCAGGTAGTGGTGTAGACATCACTGGGAGCCTGAATGCCATGATCCATGTCACAAGTGTCTGTCCCCACCTGGGTGCGGGGGGGACCAGGAAGCTTTACAGGTTACCCTGGAGTACATAGAGCACACAACAAGGAGGCAGTGTGGCTAGAGTTGTGCGGCACAATGGAGGTGCAGGCAACTCATGGTGACCAAATCATGGTGGATTCTCTGGCTTAGCATCTGGGTTATGGTTGCCCCTTTGTAAACCCACCATACAGAATGAACTATACCCAAGGTATCAGTGAGAGTAAATAGTTTGGTGGGAACCAAGGCCCCCACTCAATCTAGATTTAAGCAGTCCTGGCAGTGAACTTTTAAGGACATAAATTGGATGGGCTCCAGTGAGTTACCTAACCAGATTCCACTTAGTGAAAGCTCCAGAGTCTTCAAATGCAGAATGATTGTTACACTGCTATAACCTGGAGACATGCAGCTCATCTAGGGATTAATGCAAACTGAGGCCTTGACAACTCCATTAACAGAAGTCAAATCAAGACAAATAAGTCCCCAAGGCTTCAGTGGCTACCAAATCAAGTTGCTGGTACAAATGTTGATTGTTAAACTACATTTTCCAGGAAACACACAGTTACCATACAGGTGGGTGGCCCTCCGCATCTGTGAACACCACATCTGTGTATTCCAGCAACAAGATAAAAAAATATTTAGGAAAAAAATGCATATATGTGGAACATGAGCCAAGTTATATAGTAATACAGTGTAATAAGCCTTATGAAGCATTTCCATTGGTATTTAAGTAACTTAGAGATGATTCAAAGAATTATGAAGGTCACAGGCCATTTATATAAATGAGCAGGTACGGATTTAGGTATCTGAGGGTGGTTCTGGAATCCATCCTCACAGACACCAAGGAACAACCACATGTTTACAAAGACAATCCTGCTCCAAGACATTTTAGGATGGGCAGCAGGAAGGCGGGGATGTGGGGAGGGCTGGAATGATTCTTGGTGCCATTTTAGATGTCCCAGCAAGGATGGGCAGGAGACAGGCGGGCCAAGCACAGGCCAGCTGGCTGCTGCTGTCACCACAGACCACCCAATCTCATTGTCTTGAAACCTTTCAACTATTCACAGTGACATAACACAGTGGAAAGAGTACTATTCTCAGCATTCCAGTTAGATAGGGCCTGGCCCCATTTCTGAAAAACAAAAACACTGTTAGGTAAAAATGATCCCTTTCATCTGTCTAAAGTGGAGCCTCTGTGTCAGAGAGGGCCCCAGCAAGCTCACAATTGCAGAATCAAAATATAGCTGTTTACCCAGCAATACCTGAAGCCAGTTCTCTCTGATTTGTGCTTCATATCACTGAAAAAAATTCATCTGCAGTTATGACTACTCTGGCCACCTACTTTTGAGTATAGATCATTTTCTGTAGGTGTCATCAAAGCAAAAATGATTTGCCACAGAGATACCAATGCTTAAAATGCCCATGTAGAAATGAATAAGAAAATACATGAAAACTCCATGGACAATATATACATTTGAAAAAGTAAACAAAAATGAAGTTTTCCCCCAAAAAAGGAAGTTTAAAATCAACAAGAAAATGTTCCTAAATTGTCAAGGAAAAGATAATTTCCATGGGATGTAAACTGCTCCAAAGCAAAGCAGAACTCACTCCAGCCCCATCCCTACTCTAACCCAAACCCAGGCCCTGTCCAGGTGTGGCACTGGGCACCAGCCTTCAGCTTTGGCCCTGAACTGCACTAGCTGCCATTGAATAAGTGATGGACAGCATAGAATAAGCAAATGACTGGGAGCTCCTGGGTCCTGAGGGAAGGGGTGGAAAAGCCCTATGCAGCTGATAGAGTAAGGAACCATCACACAGCTTCCTGGTGTAGACCAGAACTATCTCTGTGATTCACTTCCTGCCACCATCCCCCAGGTAGTTAGTGAGGGACTCAAAAGGTGACACAAAGGTATCCTTCAAAATGAAAAGCAAGAAAGAAGGGTGACATAACCTGGATCCCTTGAAGGGGCAGACCCTACCCAGTGAGCACAACCTTCTGTATTTATGACAGCAGCTGCTCTTAAGAGTCAGTCCACAGTGAGAAGGATAGGGAAAGGGGAATAAGGGAAAAGGAAAAAAATATGAGAAAATGTAAAAATGGAACTAAAGTGTTTGTAGGTGGGGAGGGGAGGAGGGGGTGAAGGGAGGGTGGGGACAAGGGGAAAAAATGAGAACCAAGACCTGGCATGTAAAGGTACAAGATCTCAGTAATGAATGTATCTGTACTGTCTACCTAGAATGTACCAATAAATTCAATTTAAATAATAAAAAAAGACTCAGTCCAAGATCACCAATACCCCCTTCTAACCCTCTTGTGCCTCCTGCCCACAGGATGACACCAGCGGTGACTACAAGAATGCCCTGCTGAATCTGGTGGGCAGTGACCCATGAAGTCACTGAAGAATGAGAGCCAAGGCCAAGAAGCAGGGGCCTCTGGGCCCTGCCCCATGACCTTGGCCATGGTGGGGGTTGGGAGGCCTTCAGCTGGCTTCCAGTTTTTATCTCCCAGTGCTTTCTGACCAACATTTCTGACCCAGAGGATGACACTGGCCCCAGCTTCTATTTCCATCTTCTCTCCCATGTCATCTCCAGGTTGTGCACAAATACTTTAGCAAAGCTCTTGCTGGATGACTATGCCGGCTTACAGGGGCTCATGAGTCTTTTCTTCCTCCTAGACAGAGCCTGCCTGAGCTTGACTAGTTACAGAATTACCTGGGCTCAGGTTATGCAGATACCTTGGCCCAATCCCATGTACAGATTCAAGGATCCCTCAGGAGGATTAGAGAATGTAGATCTCTAACAAGTGTCTCAGTCATTTGCTTCCTTCTCAGCCACCAACCAGAGAGCCCTGAGAGTCCTTTCATAGTAGGGCACAGGCCCCTGAACCACTGAGAAAGGGATGCATATCTATGCCAACTGGGATACCACCAGCCTCCTCAGGAAACATCAGGCTCTGACTTCCTCACACTATCCTAATGACAGAGTAATTAGACTACACATCAAGGTCTTGATCCAAGGACGCTGTGTCCTAGAGGCTCAGGCTTCCTGGTTGTTCAGCAGCTCTGCTCTCTCCTTTGTGACACAGAACTGCAGCATGGGGGATGACACATGCTGAGCATGACTCATCCTGACCCAAGGCCACCAAGCCTGGAGAACCACAGAGGCCTAACCCTCGTCTTCCTAGATATTTACTGGGATTTCAGAATAATAAACATCTGCATATTCAGAAAGGGTCTTTGGATTGGTACCAGTGACCAGAGCAAGGCCAATTTCATGGCCAGAAGCAGAGTTGTGGGAGCTACCCAACCTGAACACTCTTGTGGGCATCCCCCTGAGGTACCACTGGGTTGGTGGGTGCCCACTGTTGCCCTGGGCATGATGCTTGTAGATGAGGATAGTTTCTATTCATTTCTATTTTGTACTCTAAATTCTGACATCTCTGGGTTGGAACGATCCTTCAAACATCACCTGGTTTCTTCCTACTGCACCTTGACTGCCCTTTGCTGCACGTGCCTCACATTGTCCCTGTAGAGGCACAGTGATGCTCAACAACTAGGCCACACATGGAGAGGTCCGACAGGAGATTTTATTAGGGGAGACAAATCAGGAAGAGACAAAAGGGAAGAAGGAACAAAAGAAGGAAGGTCCTTTTATTGGTTTTGGGCTGGGCTATTGTTTATTTATGAGGAGTGGGCTACTTTTAATCTATCACAGGCCAGATTGCCTTTTATGGGTTCAGTCCTGCAGAAACAGGTTTGACTCCTCCCAACCACTGTGGCCTTGGGGAGAAGGAAACTAAAGATAAGAGCATGAGGTCATTCTAAGAGGCAAGAAGAACCAGGAGAATACAGCCTGTGTTGGTGGTGTCACGTCCCCAACTGTCCCTGGTGCACCACCTGGGTGGCACTTGGTGTATGTGGGGTGTACTTGGCTGCCTCCAGTGATGGGAACTCACAGCCTCCTTCGGTGGCCCAGTCTTTTCCCAAAAGGTGATTCACAGAGTTCAGCCTTAACTGAGCCAAAATAGGGTACTATCATGTCCACTGCAGTCTGCTATCTAGTGCAACATGTGTCCTTTCCCAATAGCAACATAGCAACATTTTGGTATAATAAGCAGCAGCACTGTCCAGCAGTGCCTCAAACCTGAAAGAGCAGCGGGGTGGAGATGGGGCAGATAGAAAGGAAGGGCGCCAAGACAAGAGTCTGATCAAGGCGACGTTTATTGCCGGCAAGCATCAGCCTTTTAAAGCAAAAAAAAAAAAAA